ATTGTCGCGCTAGCGTGTAGCTTTTACACACCTATGTGTGTGGGTGTGCTGCTTACACCCAAATCGAAACGAGCGTGATAAAGCCTTGAACACATACTCGACCTACAAGAGTACCGCCTGGGCATAAAACAGCAAGGATTTGGAAATACCATACCCGCCATGAACGATGTACCGCTGGTACAAAAGCTGGTGAGTAGCATGCTTATTTCGCAACCCATAACCCTTTGTTTCTGAAATAGAAGCCCCTTTTTGCCTTGAAGAAGGTGCAGAAACCAATACCAATCAAGGGACATCATCACCGCGATATCGGCTGCCGCGTAAATGAAGGAAGCACGCTACTACGAGTGATATTCCCTTTTCACTGAGCGAGATAAAGCTCAAAGAAGCCCCAGGTCCTTTGCGGCCGCAGCACCAGTTCAATTTTGCAAGCGTAGAACCTTAAGGCTACCGTATCTCTTTTCATGAACCGGTGCATACTCCAGCCGACGCAGCGCTGTACGTGAAAGTGAACCCTTTGCTGATCGGGCAGTTCCAACTGAGGCCGGCCTTCCTATGGTTTTGTCTTTTGAGCCTTTAAAGTCCTGGTAAAAAATCTAATCTCTTCGAAAGTCACGTGCGTTTGAGACTGAGATGAGCTAAATCACGGATGCGATTTCTATCATCAGCCATCGCTCAATTATGTTGAGGATTTTCAAGCAGTTCAGTACTGCGTTGCCGCTTTGTAGCAAAAGTGATAAGTTGCCCCGTTTGCAATGATCTATTTACGTCTGGCTCTTTCCTAAAGCGTAATTTTGGTTTGGCTAACGCAGGATGTGTTTGCATTTGATTTGAGATGTTCGAGGAACAACTAATTTTTTTGAACGATGATTGCCGACAACATACCAATAAGTATTCCACCTGCTTTTGCATCGATACGTTGATTTTGTCTGCCTTGATCTTCAACGTTAACCACATGCATCCTGCTCATGACACTTAATCATATCACGATCAATCAGTAATTATGCTATGACGTGTAGCTCTGCTGGTGTGAGCACGTCAAATTTGATCAATAGCTCTTCTCCCACTTAAAATTCTATCCGTTCGCGCATCCGATGATTGGCCAACCTTTATACGCTTAAGCCTGTAGAGGAATGTTATGTGTTATTTTAGCTAACGCAATGGGTGGTAGCAGCTCACACCAGCACCGAGGTCTCGTCTCGAAAGCTCTCTGAAGGATACCCTTCGCAACGCAATCCAAGCTTCTTGTTCAGCAGACCTTATCCAGTTGTGCACCGAGCCCTTTAT